AGCAGGAATACCAATGTCAACATATCGCATCGGTGAATCAGTATCACAGAAAGCAATGGTCGGAATGTTTCCAAGAGCTGCTTCCTTGATAGGCTGCAGATAATATAATCAAATGTTAGCTCATCCAAAACCATTACGTACAGAAAGTTAAATCGAGTCACTGCAGATTGAAACTCAATAAAACTCAACTCAACACTAAAGAACAAATTACCTGGTGGTCAGTCCTAGGATCTGTAAGGATAAGAAGGCGAGGCTCACTGAAAGATGTCTGAAGCTGGTTAGTAAATGTACCGGGAGTGTGCCTTCCAGCAATTGCATGTGCACCAGTGTGCTGCGCAAACTTCAGTACAGCTCTCTGACCATAGGGCCTAGCAGATTGGACAATGATGTCCTGGGGGTTCTCTATAGCAACAATTACACGAGCTGCAAGCTGAAGCTTCTCCCAGGTCTTGCCAAGGTTGATGATGTAGATTCCTATACGGCCAAAAAAGAGAATTCAGTCATTAATTAAAAGTACTAATGAACACATGTTCCTATGTAGCTTATAGTTATTAGACTAGGATTATACTCATATTATAATCAATTGCATATACTAATCCTTCTCTCAAGGATGAAGGCAGATTAAATCAAGTCGGTAATGTTTAGTCCACACTATCAAATCAGGGGTCTATGATTATAAACTCAACTGGCAACTTAAATACATAGTTAAAAAGAACCAAGCATACAATTAGCAAAAAGCTATTTGTACAAGCAGCCCTCAAATTGTCTACAAACAAGCCAATTAAAAGTTTAATTAAGATAAATGAGGCAAGCTAATTTCAATTTAATAACCTAACACAAACATGTGAACATAAATACAAACAGATTCTTCCAATGAACTATTTTGACAAATAAAATAAAAAAAACACTAAAATCAAAGCCTTCAACAGATCTTAGATCTCCTAAAAGTACAAGCTTCCTAATCAAATAAAACAAAGAAAAGGAAAACTTTACAAATACAGCCATGAAAAACAAAACAACCCAAATCTCAAAACACAAAACATATGCCAAAAAGAGAAACTTTCAGCTTCAGCAGCGAAAACCCAGGAACTCAAACAAGTGACAATTTAAGTATTAAAAAAAAACAGATAATGAACCCGACATCGAAATAGATATAGGAATGTAATGGATATAGCTACAAAAACCATAATAATTACCGTCATTGCGGCGCTTGAAGACGTAACGCTCCATTTGGTAATCACAGTTCTTGGTACCGAGATGAACCTCGGCAGCCAACATCATCTGAATGTCGGCTTCTTTAGGAGAAAGCTGCCTTGCAGCTGCTGGGGCTGTCGTGGTCGCCATGCTTTGTTTTCTTCTTACCTGCTAAACCCTAAGAGAAAGGGATTGGGTTTTCGCAGAGGAGAGTATAAAGATGAGAAGCAAATGAGGCTCCCGTGATAGGGTCGAAGTGAGTTTTTGAGTTGTTTATAAAGTAGGGTTTCGAAAGTGAGGGAAACCCTAGTTGTTGTAAAATGACAGGAATAGTCTTGCTGTTTCTTCGTATTTTCCATTATCCCCCTTTTAGAGTTATAAAATGGGCCAATTTTGTGGGGCGAAATGTTGGCCCAGATTAAACTGGATGTAGATTGCATAAAAATAGGACTAAGGCCCGACAAATATTATTTGTCATATTTTCAGAAAAAGCCAAAAAATTATACGGAATTGAAAAAC